CGTCAAAAATCGACAGAAAGATGTCCAACTTGACTTTCCGACTAAAAACTTCTTTCGACGAAGACAATCTTCGACTTAAGCCATGTAAAAGGTTGGAGTTGAATCTGATTAATAGTTGAAAGTGATCTAATAAGGCTATCCTTTTGCTCTTTCATTCTGTGATGGATGTAGAAACTCACACCATCCTCTCAACCAATCAGATACACGTTTTTGCGCGCAGAAGGCCATGTTTATGTATTTTAATTTTTTTCAGGGATTACAGGCCTGCTCATTTTCCATTCTCCTAATTTTTTTTCTTTTTTATCATTCATTCTAAGAGGTACAATTCATTATTATCATCACAATCATCCAGCTTTCTCCGCTCATTTTGTTATTTTCCCATTCTAGGTCGCGCAATCTATCAGACCATCTTTTATATAACGTTCGCTTGTTTTCTTTCTTTCGTTTAGTATTATATTCATAGTTTGAAGCATATCAAGGATTTTGAAATGTTGACCAATTAAAGAAGTGAACAAATTGAAGAATGATGAACATTAATTCTCGTTGATCCATCAATTCTAGTTGTTTTTAATAAGGAAAATATTTCTAGTTTTGCTTTTTCATTATTTTGTTATATTTACCATAATTATTTTAAAATTTTTTCTTTAAAAACGAATTTTTGTGTGGCAGAGAGCCCTTAAGGGGGTGCCACACAATAAGGTCTGTATAGTTAAAGAAGTGTTTGTATGCGTATACTATATAATGTTTTCATTTACTTAATTAATTTCAAGGAGGACTTGACGCTGAAATAATCGAACCAGCACCGTTTGATTTGCCTCGTTTGGACCAAGGAAACTTTGCCTTGAACGTGGAGCGACCTTAAGTTTGATCAAAGATTTCTAAAGTAGGGAATATCGTGTTAAAAGCAAAGAGAACTAGTTTTCTTTATGCATAGACGAAAGTGTGATAGGGAAGGTTCCCTTTCTTTCTGTGGGACACAACCCAGAGAGGTATGTACACCATAATACACTTGTGAAAACTGAAGCTTCAAACTTGCATAAATAATGATAGTGAATTGATATCATTTCTGGCAACTCGCCATGAAATGGTTGGATTACTGACGTCTCCGTTGAACAAGGTAAGGTTAGTTTTCAAGGTTGTATGTTACTATAAAAGGTAACCCATAAGAGAATTAGATTAAAAATCGATTTCATTAAGAATTTCAGACGGTGCATGACTCATCATCACATTTTTTTTATTAATCAGTGACTTAATTATTTTATTGCAGGGAAATTGTGAGAGAGTTTTAAAGAGGGAGACAATCAACTTTGACGTTTGTCTTTTTTTCTTTGTTAGACGCAGAGAACGATCAAGACCCTTAAGTTGTTGAAAGTCACTCGCTTCTTCCAAAACTGGTCAAAACTCTAAATGAAGACGATACTGTTAGTTATGACAGCCCTGTAGACTTTAAAGCCCGCTAAAATGATCACCAAACGAATTCAGATTTAGCATCTGGGGGCGAAGCTGGGTAATTGTTTGCAATAGAAAGGATATAGAAGGATAGAGCCTTTAATCAGGACTACTTCACCGTATAAAGAAAGATTTATTCTCTCACATTTACCATGCATCTTGTATTTTCAATTTACGAAATTTGAGCGAGTCGTGATAATTTGTACCGTAGCAACTTGGACATCACTAAACAGTAACCTAAACTGTTATAGGTTATCTTGATTAAACATCTTGTGAAATAAATTTTACTCAATTGATTTATGTCTTAAAAAATATCCCTAGAAACTGAAAATTAACTTGTCAAGTAAGATTTAAGGATATTTTTTTATCTACACTATTTCCTGATTAGTGTAGGCTCTTAACAAGTTGGTCAGTTCCTTCGTTAAGATACCTGTAGAATAAAATAGAAAGTAGAAAGTGGAAAGATATGAATTTAATCATAGAACTTGTTTATTGGAGAGGCTTTTGCGAGTTGTTTGGGACAGAACTGAATGTTGAGCTAGTTCTCTTAGAGGAGTTTAAGCTGTTTTAGCTGACCGTTTTCCTCATTTTCCTTACACAATTTCGAGTTTATGTTATTAATTGCACGATTTACTTTACAGATCAGATAATGCATGATATCTTGTTCATTTAGTTATTTAAGAATATTAATTATCGCGTACAGAAGTTCAATTCAAACACCTGCGTGAAAAAAGAAACTTTTATGATAAGCGTTTGAGCATGTTGATCAACTACCCATCAGGAATTTTAAGTGCATTGGCTTGATTGTATATCATGATGGCGATTACAAAATGACACATGTTTATATATTTCAGGCATGTTAATCTAGGTACAACTTGTGCAAAAATTATTTACTCATACTGTGTTATAAATATTGTATTACACTGGAATGGTATGAGGTACCACTTGGCTGCTTGGAGCGTTTGAGCACGTTGATGAAACAACCCATCAGGAGGCTTGAGAGTGATAGCTTGATTATAAATCATGATAGCCATCACGAAATGATACATGCTCATGTATTTCAGGTATGTTAATCTAGGTACAAATCATACAAAAGTATTTCATCATGTAAATCTTTTGTATTAAACTGGACTGGTATAAGTGTGTTAGAAATAATTTCCTAACACTCGCTATTTTGTTATCCCTTTCTTTATTCACTCTTACTACTCAAGTTCATACAAAGGGGACTAACTCTGATCTCTCAAGGAAAGTGAGGGTCACCTCCTACAAAAGTGACACTTTCTGAGCTGTCAATCTCTAACCTTTGTCATCCTTTACTCTTAACGTGCGAATCACTCTAAGCTACGCAGAACGGAGTTCTCATACTAAGTAGATACCTTCGCGATGTTTACACTTTACAAAATGTCTTTCTAACTTAAATTTCTTGGTCTTACGGTCAAGTTTGGGCAAAACAAAAACAAGATTGACAAAATAAAAAATTTATAATAAACCTAGTAACAGAATTAAAATCATACTTGAAAAGATATCTCAAGAGAAAATAGTCCTTGAAGGCTGTTGCATAACAGCAGAATAAACACAAAATTCGGAGAAGAAGGGGCGTACCCAAGGTACCGCCCCTAGACGAGCTACGTGCTAGCCGCATAAGTTATCTAATTAAAAATTCAGTGCAGAAGATGAAAATTACTACATGTTTACACTTTAAGTGACCTCTAAGAAAAAGAGGTGCCGAACGTGCTAAATTAAATACTAAAAATTTTTTCCTGATCGGGAGCTCAACATGGCTTTAGCCTAAAAACGAGATTATTAAATGGATAAAAGTATAAAGGAGGGTTATTTCCAGGAAATTCCTGTACAGGATCAATTTTTATAAAGTACAGTCATTTTCTTAGCAATCAATCATCTTGTAGCAACATCATGAAAATATACTGATATCTAGTCGCAAACCGCAGTTTACGCAAAAACATCTGTCTCCATATCAAATTCACGATCATAATAAGGAAAACGTAACCAAACTCTACCTGTAAGATAAGACCGCCAAAAGCGCCTGAATAAACAGTAACCTCTATTTGGCGAGAAAATATGAAAAGATATTTGTCCGCCGACATTATCTGTTTCAAGATGCGGACTGTGAGCGTCAGTAGTGTAAGGTTGGGGTGTTTTTCTTAGAAGGTGCAGTCGAAGCAAGGATATTTCAAGTCAAAATAAATTCGGTAGGATAATTGAGCAGGACAGATTACAGTGGAACCCGTATAAAGCGGCACCGTATTAAGTGGTCACCTGGTATTAGGCGGTCAGTTGTCGAAGTCCCGAATTTGTTTCCCATTAATCACTTTAATTTTCACCTCTATTGGGCGGTCTCCTCTATTAAGTGGTCATGGTCACCCTTCACTGAGTCCCAACGGCCTGTTGGTCTTCCACCTGTACTGAGCGGTCACTCAAAGCGGAACCACTGAAATTAAACTAAGAATTATCTTTCAACCAATCAATTAAATCCATATTTATCTAATCAATGTTAGTAGTATTTTTGAGCGAGTGTTTCTTAACCACGTGGTCAATTATGACATAAAGTGGCGTTTCGATCGTTTTTTCTTTGGAACCTGCATAAGGACTCAACCTGTTTTAAGCGGTCTCTTCTCAGCCGAAAATACAGATACGTTTGCTTTCATTAAATGGCCGGCCTCATTGCTTCAGCCGCGGTTCTGATCCTCATAAACCCGTTGAGCAAGATGTTCCTCCTTCACCATCATAGATCACAGGCTATTGAACTTACATTGACAATTAGTTCGTTTTTAACTTTATCATTATTAACCGCAGACTGCGGGAATCACATTTGGAAATTATTCGGATTCCTTCGGCATTAATTTTATCACCTGACAATTGATCTTAGTACGCCACAGATCCATGACGTGGTTTCCGTTCCCATAACCTTTGAGTTTTTTTCGGGGTAACTCAACTTTTTATAGCAGAGTGAATGTTTTGTCCTTTTGAAGTAACGTTTACATCTATGTACCTGAAAATTTGTTTTCGCACCTGAACAATCATATCGTATAATACCAAAGTTTGGAGTTCGAATGCTGTTGCAAATATCTCAGTCATTAAATAATTGAAAAAGTTCATACGAACATTTAATTATGAGAGTTGGTCTTCGCAACGTGACATGATATTCCTTCTATTTGGAGCCTGAACAGAAGCCGAAGACCAACATAAAAGTCTAGAGGAAGGACGGAAAGGTCTTGACCACGGAAGAAAACACTCAGAGTATGCCGTAAATTTGAAAATATATTCGATTAAAAGTTCTTAGATTTTAATTCATAAGTCACATCTTTGCGTTACGTGAGTGCACCCCTAAATGTAATAATGACATAAATCAGTCTTTGGAACATTCTCGGAAAAGAGTTTTTCCGGTCTGCTGCGCACTAGAGTTTGCATAATTAGAAACCGAAAGTAAACGAAGGAAACATACAGAAGAAGTGTCGCCATTAATTCCATTTCATATTTTGTTAACGTCTCAGGAAGCATCTCATTTATTTCATTTTAGCATAGCAATAAGCATGGCCGAAGCTGTGGGAGAAGAACAGCCTCTTCTTCCAAATGAACGAACATATTTGGGCTTGCGGCGTAACAGACAGCCGCAGGATGTCAATGGATGCTACCGATTTTTATTGAAAATTGTCAAAATCACTTTCTGTACACTTGGATTATGGAGTCACCGGGCTTGGAACTACATCCCACGAGTACTAGTCGGTCTAATTTGTATTTATCAAGCTGTTTACGATTTCTATGTCGTGTTAGGTTGCCACGGTTTTGATTGCAGTTTCTTACAAAATTCAACGGATTCTAAGAAGCCCTCTCATCACAAGGATGATCGTCGTGTTGCAAACGCTGTTTACACGATAGTCTCATTGGCAGCAGTGGTTTCTTACCTGTTCTTTATCCGTTGTTTCATCGTAGCAAAGCACAAAAACTCAGCTATGGTCGCACCGTCTGAATTTTTGATGGAAGACCTTACAAGAACGGACTGCTGGTGGTTGTGTCTTATTTTCACTTCAATAACAATGTTGTATCTAAGCTCGGTGGCTGTGTTTTACGCTATCATATGGATAAGTCAGCCAAAAGATTCCTATTTCACCTTTCTTGCCACCGGAGTAGGAGCCCAGTTTTTCGCGCAGTGGACAGCAATAACAACTTGTCACGTGTTTGGCGTTAGTTCCTTTGCAGTAGGTGAGTTATATTCTGAAAAAATAAGATTTCGGGAATATGCCTCCGTGGTAATGGAAGTTTAGTATCCCGAAGTCATAAACACATGTTTTCTTTCTATTAACACAACCGTTTATTTCTCTGTCGCACTTTTTCTAGGAAAAAAGCACTGCCTCAAAAGCGACGTGTATGACTACACTAGCGTGCAGTGTCAATCAAAACTCAACTACACTCGGGCCCAGTCTCCGACAAATGATAGAAAAAAAACAATTTACCGCTTGTGGGAACCAAATTTCCGTTTCCAGAGACACCAAATAACTCGCTTTAGTTTTTGAATTAAAGGTTTAATCCTCACAAAGTGAAACCTCAAATCAGTAGGAAAACACAACTCAAAATCTCTGCTCTCCCAAAAAACGTCCCCGATACGTATTTTTACGAGGTACGTAACTGGAACCGAGGCTCACAATTTCAAAACGAGGTTATCAGTCACGCAACTCCAAAAAAGAAAACACAGTCACGACACCACTAATCACTTTCTTTTTTTGACGTTGATGCTCTTTTTCATTGATCAATCTTTCCGCCAGTTTCATCATCTCTCTGCCTGGGGAGTCTCCCGCTTTTTTTTCTTTTTTCTTTACCCTTTACTCTGGGTTTCCTTCAGGCAAGCAGTCAATTTCTAGATGATAGACGTTCAAGATAGTTGATAGCAGCACCTGGTCGTATTTGGAAGTAAAATTCAAATCCTGTCAAAGTCTCAAATTAATAAGGCTTTTTTCTCTGCGATCTCTTTAATTCCTGTTCACCTTTGTGGTTCACTATTTTCGCTCTCATTATACAGAGGTCAAAATATCATTCAGTCAATTTATTTGACTTTATTAGACTTTTATCTGTAGATTCCTGGCCTGAAGACTACTGAACATCTTGATTCACTCTAAATTCCTAAATATATATTTAGATTATCAACTTAAGCAACATAAGCAATATGCAAAAACATATCCACCAAAGCCACAATTATCATCCCCATCATGGATTATATCACGGACATCACTTTCATCACATCATCATCATCATTATCATCATCATCATCATCATCATTACCAAGCCAATCTTATCACATCTTAGGCAAAGGAGACACCACTACATTTACCCCTCGCCTATCACAATCGTTAACACGAAACGCTGGAACCAACAGTATCCCCACCTCAACTTCCATAGTCACTGGCATGTATGAAATAACCACAGCTGTAGTGGTTGTTGCCACCAACATTTCTAACTTTACCATAGCCATTTTTTAGCCATCACCATCTTTATCTGCATCAGCACTGCCACGACTACTAAATGAAACCACTTCCTACACCAGCATCTTCTACTAATTATTAACTAATCAGCCCTTCCAACACTTGATATTAGTACCGATATCGTGAACTACCAGCACAATAACCATCCTCACAAACCGCTGGCTATAGGTGCTCTCGTCACCAGGGTCATCGCTATCGCCATCTTAAGTTTCATATCTTTCCACGTACACTGGAATGCCTACCTGAGGCATAAACGCTAATCTAACTTCATTACAGACACACCTTTTTCACTGCTTTCAGAGACACCATCAACTCCGCAGGCATCACAACCCTAAACACAAAACTGTGACCATCACCACCATATTAAATGTGCCAAGAGAACTAAATACTCTTTGTAACTTCAACAGCATCATTTTCATTGCTGCAATAAACCATACACCTACATCACTGCATGTGCTACTAATACAACCTATTATTATACATTAGATTTATTGTGAAAAATTTGATTGGTCGAAAGCATTCAGTCGTTATACAATAGCGTGTGAAATTGCAAGAACGAGTTATCCTATCACAAAACTAATTTCGTGTTCAAAGTCTTCCTAGTTTCCAAGCCCCTCGCCTGTGTAGTGTTTTCTTCTGCAGATTGTTTGAAAAATGTATTGTAAAACAATTATTGAATCCGGTTTTCGCATGATATCATGAATTATCAAACCTCGTATGAGTGTTATCAGTCTCAACCTTTGGCTTCGGCAGATAACTCAGATCTCGGCGTTGATTATTAATCACATCATACTCCACCTCATTCAATAATTGCTTAATGGCAGATGAAGTTGACATGATAACCCAATATCTGCAATTCAATTTTGAATTCAAAGTCTGCCTAATATACAAGCGCCACGTGTCTGTGTTATCTGCGTCAGCCTTCAGCCTCAGCAGATAACTCAGACCTCAGTTTTGATAATTCGTGATATCACGCTCAACAACATCCAACATTTGCTTATTATCGTCAGCTTCAACATTATCATTGCTGGCATTTTAAAATTCACTACCATATAACAGTTTCAAGGAGGAAAAGCACTATCACCGCTACCATTTCCAACATCACCCGCGTCGTCTGCTCAAAATAGCACCACAACCTTCTTGACCACGGTGATGATCGCCTTCCATGTCATCATCACCATCCCCACCCTTGTGCTTTTTGCATCTTTATAATCACTTCATGATCGCAATTGTTCTCAATTTTTCTCAGGAACTTATGCAGAGGACACGCTGAGGCACATTGAACAGATTGAAGAACAACATAGAAGCCTCGACAAGATCATAACATTACACCAGGGACTCTGCACAGTTGTTTTCAACACAGTGTCATCCTACAGTGTCTGGTTTGTAGTGCACTGGGTCAGTTATGGAGTAGGAGTTGTTCTGTCTGTAATTTACATATCTAAAGAAATACTCTTCAGAAGCAAGTATGGCACTCCTATAATAAACCTGGTGTACCTTGGCTTATTCTTTGTCTGCCATATCTATTTATTCCTTGTTCCATGCATCTTCGCTGCAAGAATCACAAGCAAGTGCAGAGGTACGATAATTATTTTAAAATGCATAAGAATACTTTTGCACTTTCACTCTTATTGTAAACCGCGCCGCCCTGCAGGGGAAAGTTTATTATAACAGAGAGCTTTTCGATGGAGGGTCGTAAAACAAAAACGAAAGCAATCAAAACGGTCGAGCAAATAAAAAGGAAAATATCATAAGTAGCCAATAAGAACTCGGAGTGAAAACAAGCAAACTGCGGGAAAACACGGAGGACTAAATCGAGAGAGTGGCGGAAGTCTTACAGACCAATCATAGCGCGAAGTAAAGAAAAACCAATGAGATCCCAGATTTCTTTCGATACCTAATCGAAAATTGCCTAATGGGTGACACATTCGACTCTACGAGTCATAAAATGTTTGAAAAATGAAGATGTGCAAGTATGCTCATTTTCAGGAATTTTGAGGAAGTGAAAGCCACAAGACAACGATCTAAACTAATTATTTGAAATTTTCTTAACAGACAAGCATTGTGAATAAGAATCTGAAATGGTCAAATTTTACTTTTGCAATTGGTTGTTAGGATGAAATTATGCTAACTAAGCTATTAAAAAGGTTACAATTTTTAGATAAAGGATTTTACGAATTCTGTTTGTAAAAGCCTGTTTCATATTTCAATATTCACCCTACTTACACAATCTAAATGGCTCCAACGTTAGATGTGTTCCGTAATTTCGACTTAGTAATTGACAGCAAAGAGATTGCTTACCTTAACAGACTCTTCTTTTACATTAAAGGAGTGTACGAGAAAATCAACTCCACCACATTTGCGAACTGGAACGTGGATGGCCATCCATTCAGGGATCGTCAAAACATCGCTCTCTTCATTTCATACGCTAAGGACAGTGGCTGTGGATTCAAAATCGGTAGAATCACCTTCAGCACCTCATTGGCCTGGCTATCCTTTTTCTTTGGACTGATAGGTTTATTGTTTCACTTTTTTTAAGTTTACCCGACTTACGCGCCAATCACTCAATTTGGTGAAATATCGGAAGGCGTTAAACAAGTTTGCAAACTTTTTAAATTATGTTTTTTTCGTGACAATTGAAATAAATACTACTCCAAAGGCCAGTTCTTTATTTCGTTACACTTCGTTTTGTCCTCTTTTTCTCTTATTTTGAATTGGAATAATTTTTTAAGAGCCTCAACTCTTCCTAATTTTCTGGGAAAGTTTGAAACAGGGTTTATAGAGTTTTACTCATTATTCCCTACAATGAAAATCACATCTAGCTGCTCTTCATTTATTTGAATGTTACGATATTTTGTAGAATTTTTCTGGATTCATCTCTTCCAGCCTTCATCATTCCTCGAGTAGTCATGATCAGTGGGTAATACATCTTTTAGCCTTGAAAATCAGCCTATATTTTTGTTTTATTTCAATTTGAGATCGATAATTTCACGTTTGCAGCTTTTGAACTTTGACCTTGAAGCTCAAAATGAATGCGTGAGATCTAACTCGAAATATGATTACTAAGAATTATTCCAGTACCTGACGTTAACCGGCCAATTGGCGCAAGAATTTCCTAAATTATGATAGTTTTGACATATTCTTCTTCAAAATTTTTTCACTTTCTCAGTACTTTTAAAAAATGCAAAAACACGCAGACACGTAAATACGCTCATTCTTCAAGAAGAAATAACAGATTCTCTTAATTCGTTCTTGTATAGTCTTGCTTCATTCTCACACGATTTTAAGTTCAAAGTACGGTTTCCAACTAGCAAATCTGGGGTAGCCTGTTCTAGTGTCATCAAAACTCCTGTGACACAAGTTTTGATAACGGTTGGCGGTGGCGGTTTATCAAGGTTTCTTCCCATTGCAAGATCGTCCCCTGCCACTTCTGCGAGTTGGCGAGTCAACTCGTTTCCTCACAGCACAAAGTAATTGTTTTAAGTCGAAATCAGATTGTATTTCAATCGAAATGCATTTTCACTGCGAAATCATTACGAAGTTCGTTTCACATAAAAATTGTAAGGCGAGTGAACCAACGCGCGCCTCTTGCATGAGTAATGCTGAGCCGCTTCATTCGTTACTCCTATTACTTCAGGGAACGGTAGGCGCTAAGGTCGATTATTTCAAATTACAGCAATCAACCACATTACAGCAATCAATCAAAAAACGCAAAAAATTATTGTCATGGGCACTTCAAAGAACTACACAGGCAAGGTATTATGTATTATCTGATCTCTAACGCAAATAAAAAGAATCACCTGCTGCTACAAGAATATACACTCGAAATCATGCGAGAAAAACGAGGTTCCGAAATAGACTCTTCCAATCCCGCATCCCGCCGCTGTTTTTCATTCCATCCACCATCCCGCTACAATGAACATTTCATTCCGATCTCCCCGGGTTCAACCCAAGTTTCTCTAGTCTACCGCTTTAACTGATGGGAAAAATTATAGCCCTTACTTTGATAATGTACTCTCCTCATTAGGGAGTAAGGCTAAGATTCGCTTAAGGCATATTCAGCCGGTTTTAAAAAACGGTTGTTCGTCGGTATATTTAAAGTACTTAAGTGAGACAAAAACTCCATCTACGGGAACGCCAACAGAAAATACTAAAAGCTGTTCTGTTAAATAAATAAAATTATTCATCCGATTGCATTACAACTGAAGAAATACCTCAAATATCCAACAGACTTCATGAATGTCATAGAAAAAAAATAATGTTTCCGAGAGAAATGGTATTCGCTTCAATGGACGTTATGAGATTACACACAAATATCGCTCGAGCTGGGAGTCAATCATAGCATGCACAGCGTACAATGATTTTTACAGAGATGGCCTCCCATTCCAAAGCGCTTACTAAAGAGAGCACTTAGACTGAACCCAGTTCAATTCAATGAGCAAAATTACGTGCAAACTTACGGAACCGTTATGGGCACCAGAATGTCAGTAGCTTTTGCAAACATCTTCATGGCGCAAATCGAAACGCAAATCTTAGATTACTCTGCTAACAAACCGCCCGTTTGGAAACGCTACATCGACGACTTAATCTCCCTCTTGCACGCCAACAGAGATGTCATCAAACAGTTCATTGAACAATCAAGCATATAAATCTCACCCTATAATCAGATTTACGTGTAAAAAATATTTTTGAGAAGCTGGTTTCTTAGACTCAAATATCTGTAAAGGTGAAAGATTAAACAAGTTGTCAGTTCTCGATGTAAGAACCCACTCAAACTAAAAGAGACATTACAGTACACGTTCTACTTGTCATCCATTGGAAGCCAAGAAGGGCTTCCCTAAAGGCGAAGCGTTATAAATCCCCAGGAGTCAAAATAAAAAATTTGAAGACAACAATAGACATTTCAATCATAAGTGTCAGAGAGAGGCTACTCGAAAAACTTTGTTGACAACATACTCTGAGAGGAAACACTTTTTTTTAGTTTTACTGCTTCGACGACGAAAGCAAAATTATGCATCATGTGAACTTCTAGATGCTATTGGTATTTTTCAAATTTAACCCTCTTAAATGTTACCTTTAGAGTAACAAGTAAACGGGGAGAGGAACTCAGTTGAACTTATTCAACTAACATGTCCGTAATTCAACCACATTTCAAGGCGATTTATCAGAAATCATTTCAATATATTGCCATTAATCATTAATGCGAGTTTGAAGCTTAAGTTAAAATCTGTTTGTGTAATGGTGTACCTTACTGGATTATGTCCCACAGAGAGACGAACCTCTCTGTTCAAACTAGATTAATTTTCCTCAATACCGAAGAGTGGCATGTGGTATATATTGGATCGAGGGGGACACCTCCTTATTTTAATTTGCTAAACAGTTATGTGCCGCCGAACAGGATACGATTTTCGTAGTCGTGAATTTTAACCATGGAATATAATTTTGCTATTTGGCTTCTTGAACACGGTATCTATCTAGGCCCGGATATCTTGACAAGATATGAACTTAGTGGCTCACGGTATTCATCTATTTAGCAATAGCCGTAACTTTTGCATATTATTGTCGTGAAAAAGGTTGTAAAATGAAAAGATTATTTTCAGAAACAAGGTCACAGTTTGATGACGTCTCCTCTCTGAAATAATCGGAGGCATGCCACCGCAACATTATCGCACCGCGGGGGACGCTAAAATATTCCGTTACTCACACATTACGTTAGAAGAAACTAATACCAACAGCTTTCAGCTTAGGTATCAATTATCACAGGTCTGAGAGGCAGCAATGGTTAAATAAGAATGGCTTCTGCAAAATCACATCCGTCAAGTCTCTAGTAAACGTAGAGGAACTTCTTAAGTTGCAAGGAGTAGAGTCGCAAAGAGTGGAGTTCAAGAAAGCTTGGCAGAATCGGAAGGGAACTCCAAGAAGCACTTATTGGCAAGTTATTCATACTATCACCGCCTTTGCCAACGACCTTTATAATGTAAACGGTGGATATATCATTATCGGTGTGGAAGAGAAAGAAGACTGTGAATCTCCTGATAGCCTTCAGGTCATTTTACCACCGCTTGGTGTCACAGGAAATCTTGATAAAATACAGAAGGAGATATCTGGAGCTTTTCGAGAGAACATCAAACCTGAAATTAATCCCATACTGCAACCTGTGGTCGTCGATGGAAAAAAAGTTCTCGTTATCTGGGTCAGACCTTCGTCAAACGAATGGAACTATTACATAAGAGATGGCACGGAAACCAAGAAAGCAAAGCCGGAACAAATAAGCCTACTTCATCAACACTTCAGGGCGCCTCCATTTGATGACAGAAAAGCGCATAATACTGGTAAGGTACATAAAACCTAGCTTGTACACATGAAATGACTCCAGAGGCATGCGCTATTTTAGTGTAACTCAGTATCACCCAAAAACAGAATAGTTTCAAATACAATATGGAGAAAGACTCCCTAGTTGCAAACTTAAAAAGTGCGCAGAAGAGTAAAATGAGTTCTCAGAACTGTTGTAACTAGACGATTAAAATAGCACAAGTTATTCCGATGGACAGGGGAATTTCTATTCTTTTTATGCGTTACCCGAATCCAATTAATTTCAACGTCCTGCGGGAGACGAAGTTAATTATATGTGCCATTTACCAATCGTGGCGAGTTGTTATTATTTCATGCTTTCAATATATCTAACAGCTTTAAATTCAGCGATAAAAAATGTCCTACTTAATTGAACCAGTTGAACATCCGGATGCGCAGCAGAAGAATTATTTTTTGCATAATAATGCGCTTATAATTTTGGAAATATTTGAAATCAATATTAAGTTTTTCTTTTTTAAAGAAGCTTTAAGCCGATAAGTCTGATCGTCCTAATGAGACTTGTCATAGGATGGAAAGTTTTCTGTTCACGACATACACAACAGATAAACCGAATATAAGAAATAAACGACACTTTTTAAAAACATGTTTCGACAGTTCTTCTGTCATCTTCAGTTCTGATTTATACGTCAATACCTTTTTCGAACCCAAAGACTACGTAGAAAACTGACACTAGAAAATTTGCTTTTTTTTTGACGCTGAAGTATATCAGGAGGCTAAATCAATGAAATTGTTTTGTTTATTTCTCACCAGAGCTCGGTTCCATGTTGAATGAAAACAGCATAGATTTGAGTTTGGTACAACAGTATTTGAAAGATATCGATAGTGCTCTGATTGGTCAAAAGATGGAACCGGTTCATCTCTATGAAAAACTGCAACTGGTACACCCAGTGACCGAACGAATGTTTACACCACGAAATGTGGCCTTACTTTTCTTTCACCCAAGTCCTCACGAATTTTTCACGGGTGCTAACACTGAAATTGCTGTATTCACTCACGACAACGAGGCAAAAGAAGAGGTGCTAATCACTGGTCCAATCGACCAACAAATAAAGAAATGTTTGCGTTTTATTCTGGACATCCCAAAGAAAGAGTCGTGCCATGCCATGATTGCATATCCTGAACGAGCTCTTCGTGAAGCCGTTGTTAACGCTTTCCATCACAGAAGTTATGAAAGGTGTCATCCTGATCCAATCAAAATTCATATTAAGCCAAAGTTCATTGACATCATTAGTTATCTTGGTCCAGATCCCAGTCTGAATCAAGAAGATTTCTCTGAAGATGGAGAAGTACCACCTGTCCCATCCAGGAATAGGAGGATAGCAGACTTCTTAAAATCATTGAAGCTGGCTGAAGGGAGATACACTGGTGTCGGCACAATCTTTCGTTCTATGAAGGATAACAACAATCCCAAACCTAAATTTGATTTCAAAGAGTCATACTTTCGCGTCCGTCTTCCTGGGCACCCCAAATACATCGTTCATTCCGTCAGAAGTAGAGCTGATAATCTCTGTGCAAAGGGGAACAAGGTAGAAGCCGTGAAACTGATCACAAGATTCCTCGAGGAAAATCCAACAATGCAGTCTGAAACCCTCATCGTTAAGCTTTTGGACTTGCTCGAGGATGACAAGCACGATGCAAAATATCATTGTTATCGCGAGTATATTGAAGAAAGGAGACAACGCCGTAGTCCTCTTGAGGAAGAGCTGCTTAAATGGAGTGAAGCCGATAGAACAGACATACAGGCCGGTGTCAAACTTGTCAAGAGCCTGGTGGAAGAGGGTGCAGGCATCAGAGACCTTTCTTGTGTTGTTTCTAAGGCGTCTGAACTCTGTCAGAAGAATGCAGATAAAGAAAAAAACTTGGAAGCCTCACAGAACGCTCACAAGCTCTATGAGGCTATGGGTGAGGTTGTACAAACAGATACTTTAGTATCTTTCCAGTTTGCAGACTGTTTGTTAAATTTGTTCTGCTTAAACACTACCAATGAAGGATCAGAAAAGGGTAACAGCATTGAAGAGCGTAAAAATCTTTTACCACTCCTAGGAAAGGCAGAAGATTATGTGAAAAAAGCCACACAGCTGACACGGCTGAAAGATGACTTTAAGATGACTGATGACAGACTAAAGATGACTGCTTTGCAGCACCGCTTACTTGGCTACATCCACTTCCAGAGATGTTCAGTCGAAAAGTCATTTGAGAGAGACTACAAAGATTGCTACGTCAAAGCTCGCTTGTATAACCCGACAATATTCGTCAATCCTGACTTTGATCCAGAGAGATCTCTTTCACGAAAAATATTATGTACGAGCGCAGACAAAAAGAAAAAGAGCCATCAGACATCAGATTTATCAGAAGTCACCCGTTCGTGGCCAGAAATAGCAAATACTCGCTGCAAAAAGGACGATTGCCTTGACTTATTAGAAACTTAAAATAAAACAAGTCCATTGCTTTAGGGAGGTGTTGGCCAATAGGAGAGTTGAAGACCGAGAGATAGTAAACATTGGTGGGTCATGCTCTCGTTGGTCTTCCATCTTGATGCCCAAAGTTTCTACTTGTCGATTCGGCTCCTCCATACGTTTATGGATAGACATGATCCTTTATGAGCACAAAATGCCATTTTTATTCCGTAGGGTGCATCAGCGTGGCACGGTTTGTGTCAAGTATCGTGCAATCTTTTAATTGCTCAATATCATGCTGAACTTTTGCACGTGTGTGGCAGAACATTACACAAGGAGACGCCACCTAACCCAGTCAACCTAGTCTGTTAATTTTTTTTCGACCTGTGTTCTGCAACTCTGTGAGTTTGTGTTTCCAAACAGGTCTGAGAGAAGATTACCGACATATCTGAGGGATTACCGAAATATCTGAGCGATTACCGACATATCTGAGATCTTAATTCGAAAGCTGAGGAAAAGTTGTTTGGACTTTGTCATTTGTTTCAATTGTGGAGGCTTTCTATGCTTTCTGTGGATGCTGTGCTGGTGCCTACATGGGTGACGGCACCGTTTCGCGATCGTGGAATAATTTGAATCCAGGAACGGTTCTCAAAAATGCTTTTTTGACAATTCATAACTTCGATCGCCAAAAACCGGGTTAATTCCATACACAGATCCGCGCTAATAACGACGTATGAGCGAGAATATATTTTTTGGCGACTCGTATTAAACGAACATCAAAGCTAAGGGCTTCAGCAGCTCATGAAAGAATAATTTACGATATGTTTTTCAATTTACAAGTATGTGGCTGTTGCAACAGATGATTTTAACTTTCCCTTGACCTCTAATATGTTAAGCAGGTTTTATAAAGATTATCAAAATGTTAATGCCCATTTAATTCGATGTTTGTCTTCGGCACTGTAGTTGATATAGCAGTGGCGGATCTAGTAGAGGGGCTCAGAGGGCTCCAGCCCCTCCCCTTATTTTGGGTGAAAAAAAAAAGAATCGCAGAAGGAAGAAAAGCCGGTAAGGCAAAGCGACAAAAACCGGGCCCCCTTCTCAGCTCAAGGTCTGGATCCGCCACCTAAAAGTTTTATTCTTTCTTCAAAACTGTGGCGCATTCGAGATGACCGTTTATCCATTGCTCTCCTATGGTCTGAAATCTTGTGTTTCATGAGACTTTGGCTGGCCTGAAAATGTCAATATTTACCATAAACACAAAATAATCCAAGCAGCCAAGTGGCATCTTGTCTCTCTTGTTACATTTATTTCACTTATACCAGTCCAGTGCAGCACAAAATTTACAATATGACTGTGTACGCTTTGTACCTAGAGTAACATACCTGGAATACATGAGCATGTATCATTTTGCAATGGCTGATATGATTTACAATCAAGCCATTACACTTAAACTTCCTGATGGGTTGTTTCATCAACATACTCAATCGCTCCAAGCCCTGTTATCATATATCCGTCTGGTTTCTTCCTTTTTTTCTTTCGCTTTTGCCAGTCTAGTGTACTATAAGTTTTAGATAACGATTGAATAGATGTATACGAGTTGTACCTGGATTACCACGCCCGAACGGATATGGGCATGTGTTATTTTTTTAATAGCTATCATGATTTACAGCCAAGTTGTTACACTTAAACTTCCTAATGGATTGCTCCATCAACATACTCAAAAGCTTTTGATGAAAGTTTCTTTTGTTCACGCAGGTGTTCGAATTGAACTTCTGTTACACGATGAGTAATATTCTTAAAGAACTAAATGAGCAAGTTATCACGCATTATTTGATCTCTACATTAAATAAAAAGAAACACCTGGTGCTATATTAAAAAAAGGAGCAAAACTTCTCATAGATTTTTGCAAGTTACTCATTTTTTTTCTAGTCCCCTGATGACATTCAATTCTGTCCTAAACATGTTTCTCGATTCCCAAAAGCCTTTACAAAATACAGTTTTAATCGATGAATATGTCGCTTTCCCCTTTGCAAGTATCTTCACAAAAACCGACTAACTCGTTAAAAGTCGACATAAATCAAATAGCATAGATGTAGAAATACCCTTGAATCTTACCTAACAAGTCAACTTTAAGTTTCTTTGAAATGCTTTCAAGGCAAAGTGTTACATCAAGATAAAGTTCAGAAGAGGCTATTGTTCAGAGGTATCCGACTCACTTACTACATGCAAAAATTGAAAGGTTATTATTACATGGGTTGCCATACTTTCCTAATTTTTATCAAGGCTAACTTACATTATATTCCAACCTAACTTCCCTACAGGAGGCAGTTAGGTTAAACTCAACTCCTGAACAGACTCATACTGTGTCTTGTTATTGAAATTAGTGTTTTCCCTTTATTTTTTCAAGCTACCCGATTCTTTTCCTGTATACTTGATCTGAATTCTCTCGGTGACAAATTTCACGGATTTTAAAGTCCACAGGGCTGTGTCATAGAAAACGGTATCCTCTTATCATAGGTAGTTTAGATATCTCTTGATCAGTTTTCCTTCCGTGAAAGGAAAAAGTCAATTAAATTGTAAAAATGATTATGTACTTCATGCACCGTCTTAGCAATGATAAAGTTCTTAATCTAATTCACTTGTACGTTACACACAGACTTACACACAGACTATCATATGAAACTTTAAGAACAAATTCTACTTTTTCGTCTGCTTGCAATGTCAGTGATCTCGCCATTTTATGGCGGGTCGCCAAACATAACTTCAATTTACTGACATGACCTCTGTGTAACGTGTTTTATCAAACTGGATATTGTCCCAGAGAGAGAGAGAAACCCCTCCCCTACACCTCATCTTCTATGCCTAAAGAGGAATAGTCTTGCGTTCTATAAAAATTGATTCTGGTTTCTAATATGACATTTCCTTACAGTGTTTAATCTAAGAGCCTGCTCAGTTTACAAAACTGAAACCAAACTTTAAGAAGTGATGAAGGTCACTGTGAGTCCAAGGCCAACTTACGTCGTGTAACAGACACAACTTTCTAGCTCGTGTTCTCTTTACTATGCTTTAAAATAGAAATTCCACATCAAAAAATGTATATAAAAACTGAGAACATTATATTTTATTTTTTTCAACATTAATAGCTTGTTGAAAGAATGACAGGATTGAGGGGATATGGGTACTAACCTCTTCTAAACTAATTGATTGGACAGATTTCACCACTAAGTTAGAAAGGAGATCTTTCATAGTTTTTTCTGAAACAATTATAAAAATCTATTAGACGCTGCATTATCTTACAATGCATCTAATTTCACTAGTTGCAGCCCTGCTTTAGTTAATTTTCTGTCTAATGATACATTTCTAACAGAATGCGGAAGGAAGCTGTTAGAGTTTCGATGATAGACTTAAACTTTGTGAAGAAATTTTTGACGGACATGCAGTCTAAATTGCTTGAACATAAGGACAACGGCCCAGTAGAATTTATAAGCGAATCAGAATACTGTGGCCCGTTTGCGAAAAAATAATAGAATTGGCGACCAGTTACCTCCAGTCTGGGCACCACGAAGTGCGGCCCTTCTATTCTTTTACCCTTCCCTCTCACTAATTCTTGAGAGGGGCAAGAACTAAAATTATACCCGACTCGATTCAGGTGAGGAACCTTGCAATCTTTCTGTTCCTAGATGGTACCTCTGTTACTTTACTGCTTTTGGTTTTATTCGCCTTTGTAAGAGTTGGGCTGGGACCTGGGTAACTTATAACATCGATGCAATCTGGCCTAATGTGGATTTTTATTGCGTCATAGTTGTAGTCTTCATACCCTCTGTGATGAAAGGCATTTACAACTGCTTCACGAGGATCTCTCTCTGGACATACCATTCATGACAAGTATCTTATTGGTCTTCAAGATAAATGACAGCACTATTTCAACCTGTTGACTAGTTTGTTCTGTAACGGGCATTTCGTCCGTCACGTCATCATGGCTGTACGTACTAAATCATTTCGTTCCTCGTGAAGTTTTGATATTTGGTGTTGAAAGAAGAGTCACTAACTCTGGGCTATTTAAGATAACTCCAAGGTTTTACAATTCGAGTCAGTCACCGCTTCTGTGTCTTCCCTGAAAGAAAAGGTAAACTATGCTAATTTACTATACGTCCGGCACCACATACTTGCCAGTACTTGTAAAAACACGCCATAAACAGCATTGAGTTTCCAGTTATTGTTTTTGTACTGTAATCATAGAAAGGGCTGCTAATTCAAATAACTTTTGTTAGGCCGAATTTTCGTGACATTAAATTCATAGCGTGACAAAGCGGACATGCATAGTTTCAATCGACCTTTAAACCTGCTGTGAGGTTCATATATCACACAAGAAGCAAACATTCTCCATTTATTTTCATTATGCGAAGATTTCATATTGCTTTACTTTTAAGAAATCTGCTTTAGCTTATTTGCATTATGGAAATATTCAAGCTTCCCAATAGTACTCGTCTTGTCTCCTTGATCTACAGAGATCCTTTCCCCAAAACCTCTGACTGACTGGAATCTATGGGGACCCTGTTCTCTGCCAGGTGAGCTGTAGCTATGGCAAGTACTACGTAAGTCTTTCCACTGTTTGTTGTAGCGCAAAAGGATGCAGCTGTTCCCTTTCAACGCAGGGATCGAAGGCTCATGTTGCTATGAATGGAGTTCAAGTTTCCAACTTGCACTTTTGTCAAGTAACACTGTAAGAGAAAGGTCAAACTGAGAATATTTTATCTTTAAGTCGTGAGATGAAAGTAAAAGGAAACGTTGAATGTGATGCGCCATCAGAAACTTAACATTAGATTAACATATTAAAAAAAAGCAACAACAAAAAAAAAAAAAAAAAAGAACCAATCAGAGATTAGAATTCAGGGGGTATCACTATACCTGGCGGGATGCCTACTTTTTTCATTTTTTGCGTTTCGTCTGAAAGCTCAGTTGAATTACCACCTGAAATAAAAATTGACCGACTCAAATGTGTGATCCCATAGTGCAATTTAAACGCGTCTCTT